GCTGTTTCCCTGGTTACAGACACTTGCCTCCAAAGCACAGGATGGGGAGAAAAGACAGACAGAGGGAGAGATGTATATGTGTGTGCGTGAGATCGGCTGGCAGGTCTGGCAGTTGTAAACACTGCAAAGTTCATCAGCTCACAGTTACCCTTTCCCAGTGTTCCTGGGATTTACACTGAGCTCCATAGCACATAGAGTCTCTACCCTATCAGTGGCATGGGAAGACTCACCACTTACCAACATTCCCACCCCTGTTTACCAGTTCTACCATGTAGGAACAAGAAGGGGTTGGAGCTATTTGCTTACTTGAGTGAACCGAGAGGAAAGGATGAGGAGAAAATGGAACACAGAAGTTAGATATTAGGGGACTTGGCGAGGAAGCTTTACCAGCTCATGCCGCTGGTCAGCTCCTCCAGACTAGAACAGGTAAACTGGCTGTCCTGTTATTTTTGACAAGGAAAAAGATGTGAGGACTGGCTGGAGACTAGGGTGTAATAATCTCCATTTCCATAGGCAAGCCAGAACTCTGCCCCAGCTGTAACAGTGTGTTGCCACTTCTGGATCATCCACTCTCCTATTCTCTTTCTTTGGGCCAACTGTAAGTTGAGCTGTGGAAGAATAAGGGACCCAGTCATGAACCCTTTATTCCAAGCCAGGCACTGCATTGGTCTCTAGAACCCTGAGAGAAAAGAGATGGTGTCCCTGCCTCCGCTGAAAGATGGGAAGTCTGTGAGTACAACAGATGCTGCAGTGTGTCCAGAAGGTCAGAAGAGAGGGGCAGGCAGGTTTGGAAGCTGGTACCTGAGTCGACTGTATTTGCAGTGTTCTTCCCTGTATCTGCAGTGCCGTTGGCCACTGAGGTAGATAACCCAACCCAATCTATTGTAGTAAGTTTGTGAGTGTTCTTGCAAGTGCTTTGGACAAGAAGCAAGGGTAGTACGTCGCTCCGTGTTCTCTAGATATAGAACCTAGATATGGACAGACAGAGAATGTGGGGATATGGATGGATGGATGGTAGGTGGGTGGGCGGATGGACAGATAGAGATACATAGAAAGGACTTTTAAGAATTTTAAGGATCAGCAAGCCTTGTAAGATTGGCAAGCCTGAGCACCTTAGAACACTCTACAGCTGGAGCCTCAGGCAGGATCTTCCTGTCTAGAAAAGCTGAGTTTTTGCTCTTATAGGTATCAACTAATTAACCAAATTATCAAGGGTAAACTCCTTTCCTTAAAGTTAAGTGATTATAGATGTTAATCATAGGTACCAAATACCTTCACAGCAACATTTTGACTAATGTTTCACCAAACAACTGGCACCACAGCTGGCCCAGTGACACAAAAGGAATGGTCATAAGCAGCAACTATCATGTGCTCACAGGTTAATACGTGCCAGGCATTGAACCAAGCACTTTCCCTCACACTGCTGAATATTGTATAAGTACGTGAACTCTGGTTAAAGTGTCTTGCCTGAGAGGACAGCTCTGGGGTGGAGTTAGCTCTGGAAGCCAAGTTCTTCACCAGACTCCAGTGCAAAAACTTCAACTCTAATAATCTAGATTCAGCAACTTAAGAGAGATGTACAAAGTGACCCAGAGTCACTCGGCTTGTCTTAGCTCTTCCTAGAGCCCAGCCCAGCTGTCTCGCCGTAATACCCCTCTGCTTCTGGAAAATTCTCAAGTCTTTGCACACCTCACCTTGTACATAAATGATGGCAGCATCTTGTTCACTCTGAGTCAGCAAGCCCACCCGAGGTAGCATGCATCAACAGAACCCACTGCAGAAAGGCCCAGCCACGATTACTATCTCAGTCAGCAGATGTGTTCAGAATCTGTACCCTGCAAACATTTAACTGCTGAGACAACTTCCTAATGAGACCTTTTCAGGACATCAAAATTGAGTCTGAAATGGACCTGTCTGGGGACAGATCTATGCTTGTGGCAGTTTGTGTTTCCATAATATTAAAGAGGATTTTCAGAAAGCACTGCAGAGTCCTCTGCTATCTGTGTAGCAGGAAATAGGGCTGGCCAGAGCTCCATTTATAAGGCACTCTGCTCAGTGAGTCTGTTTACTGTAGGCCTTACAATGGGTGGGTGAAGGTTTGGTTGCAAGTAACAGAAACCAATTCAAAAATATAATTAAAATAAAAAGATCGAAGGATTTGCCTATCTTACGGAATCAAAGTAAAATTGGAAAACCAGTGCAGGAAGACCACAGTTAAACAGAGCAGCTCTGAGCAGCCCCTCAGCAGAAGTTTAAAAACTTGCAGAGTCCTGTCGGACACAAGTGCAAATCAGCTATGTGGTTTCCTAGGCTGTTCCTGTTCAAATTTCCAAGGGTGAAGAATGGGTTTACTCAGCTTGCGGCGAGTGTTGATTCCTAAACAGAATGTCCTGGATTGGGGTCCAGGTGGGGCAGGCGAAGCTCTAGCAGCTGATACTGTATTTGGCGGCGGGGAGGGGGGGGGCATAAAAAGGGGAATTATTTTTGATCACTCAAAGAAGTGGCTCCTCATGTAATTCTGATTGTGGGGTAAAGGACATGGCTGAGTCAGTAAAGGGCTTGCTGAGCAAGCTTGAGAACCCGAGTTTGATCTGGACATGCATATGAAAAGCCAGGAGTGGTGATGGGGAGTAGTACTAGGGAGGTGGAGGAGACAGGAGCTTGCTGGCCCGTTAGCCTAACCTAATTGGCAAGTTTCAGATCCCAATGAGAGACTCCATCTCCAAAAATAAAGTGGATGGCTCCTGAGGAATGATACTCCCAGGCTGACTTTCACATGTATGTACACATACATGCAGATGCACTTGCACACACAATGCATCCACAGACACACAAAAGTAACTGATTGTAATAGTGGCTTGAGGCTTAGACAGAGAACTTCATGTTTATAGATCTCTGTATCCATTATGGACATATATATGTCTGTGTGGATACATTTTTCCCATTCATAATCAGCCTTCCCAACTTCCCACCCTGTTTCCATGGAATTAATATCTGAAAAATAACGAACTATAGATGCAATCCTGGTCCCCATTAGAGATCCTTACCTTCAGGTTTTTAGCATATTGAGTCGTTTATGACAGTGTATAAGTGCCACCCAGGCAGAATCTATGACTATTTGTATCCCTACATGCTTGGCACATAGTAGATGCCAGTGATTGCCAAATGAGTAGCAATCTTCCACCAACACTAGGACACTTTCCTGTACCCCAGAGTCCCAGGAACCCAAGAATCTTCTTTATATCCATATCATCCATCTCCAGTGGAAAGCAAGTATACACCTTTCCTAGGAGAAAGGTGAAAGGCCCAGGTCTGCCTATGTCTAATGTAGGTTTAACCTAAAAGGCTGACTGTAGATGCCTGGCCATGGAGGAAAGACTCTTGGGTGCTTGAAAACTCACATTGTTGTTCAGGCAGACAAGGGAGAGGGGGCTGCATATCAAAACAGTCCTACTCATACCTGTGGTCCTTAGTCTGGCTAAGTGTAGCTCACTGCATCTGTTGTCAACCTTTACAAACTTCTGAAGTAGTGGTCTGGAGCCTTATGATACTAAGTATATCACAATGATAAAGACTAAACCACAGTGGTATTCAGATTGTTCCAAAGTGAGCTCCGAGGCCATCTCTCAACCACCTCTTATCTGTCCACTGAGATCTGGCAAGACTCTGTAACCAAAGGTGTCTTTGGAAAACTGTCCTTTTTCCAACCTGGGGGAGAGTCTTCCTCATTGTTAACTGGTAATCAAGTCTTGATTGTATTCTTCTTGGCCTGAAGTTCTGTGCTGCCCACACTGGCCTGGACTAGCATAGTGACATAGACTATGGCTCTTCTTTACAGACTGGCCCTGGTCCCTGCTTATGTACAGGCTCAAAGTTTTGTTAAGAGAAGTGACTTTGGTGACACAGCAGAAGCGTGTGACTATGAAGCTTTTTCTCCCAGGACTTTTCAAAATACCTTCTAGTGCCTACCATTCTCCAAGCCTTCTAAGCTGCTTTCTCTGTTTTGGAGATAGACACAGCCTGTCCATGATGGCATTAAGATCCTAAAGTCAGTGGTCTGTCTAGGAAACAAGAATGAAGTGCCAAGGTCACAGCCTAAGGAGAGTGAGTAACCAGTGCCCTTCAGTATAACAGTTCCCACTTGGTGCATGTCTGCCTCCTGCCAGGTGTCCTTCACAGCGAGCCATTACCTTCACCGTGGCAACTGCAGGAGGTGGACATTTTTTGTCACCATTCTGGGCAGGAAGAGCCCAATGTACAAAGATGCTAAATTATTTGGACAGAATGACAAGACTTAGAAAGAGGCATTGCCAGGACTCAGATCCAGTCTGTGTTCATTAAAAGCTTCACACTCTACTGTCCTCCCTGAGCCTCTCTCCCTTTCCAAAAGATGGCCTCAGAGCTGATAGCCAAGAGTCCAATCCAGGAGGACAGGTACTAAGTCTTGGGAGCAGAAGACCAGGTATGAAGGTGGGAATCAGTGAGGTTTGAGAACTCTCCTCCAGCAAGTGCCACACCAGACCACTGCCTTTCCCGGCCCAGTGATGGATGGCTATGTGTGGAGAGGGGCTCTACCTACACTCTGGGGTCAGGATCCCGGCCATTCCTGGGGTTGAGGATTCACAGGTTGGTCTGTACTCTCCTTGTGGTTTTATTCCTGGTCTTGTGTGACCAGTGGCACAGTCTTGTGTGACCAGTGGCACAGTAGGAAGAGGAAATGTAAGAAGTCTCTGAGACACCCCGCTCTGCACTTGGCTGTGAAAGTGGTACACTCTGCAGTTGTGTAGAAAGAAACCGCAGCCCACTGTCCTGTCTGCTCTTCTGTTGGTTCTCCAGAAATGTTGGGTCAGCCGTGGTACCTGTCAGCCCCTCTCTAGGCTCCCTGCGTGGGATTTGATCAGCTGCTTGGCCTCCCTGGGCTGACCATCACACATCCTCACAGGGAAGGGCCTTGTCCTGACATCTCAGGGATGCTGTATCTCTACCTGCCCCTCTTTCAGGAAGTCTGTCATCCAGCTTGACCTCGCCAACACCAAGAAAGCGATGATAGTCCCTGCGTTCGAGACTCTGCGCTACCGGCTCTCTTTCCCCAAGTCAAAAGCAGAGCTGCTGTCGATGCTGGACATGGGGACCCTCTTCACATTCAGGTGAGTGGCCCTCACTGCTGTACCCTGGGGATCGCCAAAGAACCTCTCTTCTGGGACACCCAGATGTCAACGCTGTTGTCATAGAAGTTGGTAGGTTGCATTAGTCCATTTGTAAATCCAAAGAATGCTACTCACCCCAGTGTCATTGGAATCCTGTCTTACCCCTGCACTCCCCGCCCCATGTCATGTGCTTTGCTTTATACATGGATGGCAGACACTGTTCTGATAGAAAGAAAGGCATGTTAGGGTAAGAAGCTACACATTTATTTTCATACCTTTATTTATAAACTCAGTTTAGGACCCTATCACTATTCCCTGGCTCAGAATTATTTCTTATTAGTCAGGGTCCTCTAGGGAAACAGAACCCATAGAATGAATATACATTAAAAAGGAATTTATAGAATTGGCTTATACAATATAGTCAACAGTGGCTGTCTCACACTGGAAAGGTGAAGAAGCTAGTAGTTACTCAGATAGTACTAATCTGGTGCTGAAGGCCCGGAGGATTCTTGCAAAGCTGCTGGTCTTCAGTCTGTGTTGGAAGCTGGTTCTAGTATCGGAGAAGGAATCACCAGTAGCAACAGGGTAGATGAACTTGCCAGCAAGAGCAAAGTCACCCACATTTAAGGTGTGTCTTCCCGTATCACTTAAGGCAATCAAGACAGCTCTGCACATGTCCACAGGCCAACCTAATGTAGACAGTTCCTCATTGAGAACCTCTTCCCAGGTGATTCTAGGTTGTGTCAAGGTGACAAAATGAAACACCACGATATGCATTCATTCTCTTGGTGAGTGGGCTTCACTCTGAGCACCCAGTAGGGGCTCTCTTTTTCTTTTGTGTATGTGTGGCTAGTCTGATCTCTAAGCCCTTAGGGCCTTGAATAGGCATCCTACATCAACAGTTACAGCTTAAATTCTTCAAGGGGATTCTAAAGTTGCACACAGCTGACAGAGGAGCCAGATTCCCTGCTGCCCAAGTGACAGCTGCAAACAGAACCTTTGTTTTCCTCATTCCCCAGACCTAAGACTTGCAGGGACATTCAGAGATCTGCACTATATCCAGAGTGTCCCCAGACAGTAGTCTGCAGAAGTCTTAATGTCCTCCCTCTCCTGAGAATTTAGCAGTGGGGGATGGGGGAGTGGGACTCCCACTGCTCTCTAGATGGAGCATTCTGGAACAGCCATTGCATCTGCCTGTTTCTGCTAACATGAGCCTCCATTCCAGTGCAGCAGTGACCAACACTTCCTCTGAGTTCAAAAGCATGCAGTTTTAGGCAACCCAAATTGTAACGTGAAGACTGTAGGCATACCATCTCAAGTTTGCATGCCACTATAAAGCTCACAGAAAATAACTCTGTGAGCTAGGATATTTGTTCCACAGTATAGAGATTATGATTTTTTATTTTTTTAAGAAATTTTATTTATTATTTTTATTTTATGTGTATGCGTGTATTGCCTGCATGTAGGTAAGTGCACCCATGTCATGCAATGCCCTTGGAGGACAGAAGAGGCTGTCGGATCCCCTGGGCCCTGGGTTACGGACAGTTGTTAGCTGCCATGTGGGTGCTGGGATTCGAACCCGGGTCCCCTGAGTTTTTTGTGGTTTTTTAAATTTTTTTTATGTGTATGCGTGTATTGCCTGCATGTAGGTAAGTGCACCCATGTCATGCAACACCCCTGGAGGACAGAACAGACTGTCGGATCCCCTGGGACTGGAGTTACGGACATGTGGGTGCTGGGATTCGAACCTGGGTCTTCTGCAAGAGCAACCAGTGTTCTTAACTGCTGAGCCATCTCTCCAGCCCTGATTCTTTATTTTATTGTGAGTGGAGAGGTCCTGGTAGATCCAGGATTTATACCCCCACCTTCATTCTCCATCCAGAATGTAGAAAATCACCTAGAAGAATTTATTTCCCCCAAGCCACGCCATGACTTCCTACTTCCCAGAGAAGGCAAGAAAGTAACAGCTACTCTTTATGGCATGCTTAACATGTACCAGGCATTGGGATGAACATAATGAATCCTCAACAATTTCTCATTTCATAGAGAACACAGCGGAGCTCTGAGAGGTCAAGTAATTTGCCCAGTGACACATGGCCAATAAGTGGCAGAGCCAGGATTCAGCCCAGGTCTGAGGAATCACCAAGCCTGTGTTCATAACCAAGATAGCATTGGGCCGCTGACAAGTCCTTCATTTTCTTACCAGCCAGTGTTGGAAAATGCAGAGTAACAAATCGGTCCTGGAAATTGAGACTTTGGGACCAAACCTTTGTCTGAATCTCCCACAGTCACTGTAGTCCGAAGTCTGAGCACCTGGCAAATGTCCAAGGTGTTCTTCCTGCCATTTCCTACCCCAGGTGATGTGAGAACTCATTCCAAGGCCATGTCTGTGGGCATGAGAGTTGGTGCCTGGCCTGCTGTGTCCATGATTACTGCTCTTGCCGACAGCTTGCAAGCCACCATGCCAGGTGCTGAATTATAGACCTCCCCTCTGAGAAATTGCTTTTGTCACCTGCTCTCCAAGTAATGAACACTTAGCTTCCCAGCAGCTGAAACCTACTCCCCACCACACCTGGCATCTACAGCCCTCTGCATCCTCCAGGGGCAAATGCCTCTCAGAGTGTGGGCTCGGGGCCAGTGGCATCACATTGCCTGAGACCTCAGTAGGAATGCAGTCTCAAATCCTCACTCTGACCTGTTGAACCAGAAACCTTAGCGTTGGAACCAGTCCTCCCCATGGCTCTGACACACATCAAGTTTAAGAATCCTGCTCAGAGTGCTCAGATATTTCTCCATGACACCGTGCAAAGTGTACTGGGGAACCCCTTTCATCATCTCATTACTGTTTTTGAGGTCACCTGGTGTTACTAGACTCTGAGGTCTGGTGTCTGCTGGACTGACAGCAGACAGCGGGTTCCTGAAGCAGTCTTCAGGCTGTGGTACGTGGGCCTCACTGTGTCCTGCTCTGCCCGGCCTTTCAACATGCTGTCAGCAGTCCAGGCTGAGTGAACAGAGGCCGCTTTCCCAGCCAGATAAACAGAATTGACTCAGCTGTCCCTGGCCTCCCATTCTCTTTTTTCCCTTCTTTTTCATATTATATAGTAGGTCAAGAGTTCAGATTCTAAAGATGGAGAACAAATTAATGGTCATCAATCTATTGATATCACAGCAAGCAGGAACATTGTGGACTGACATCATATCTAGCAAACAAGGAGACATAATGAGACTATCCTCACTTTTCAACAAACCATTAATATGTATAAGACTCTGCCTTGAGTACTTTATGAGAATTAATTTCGTATTAGAAGCTGCTATTATCTCCTGCTTTACCAGGAGAAAGGGACAAAGGTACAGGGCAGTTAATTTGTCCACACTTGCTAAATGACAAGATGCAAACCCAGTCAGGCTGCCTTCACAGCCCTTGTTTTTAACCATTTTGTTCAAAGTCCCAGCAGGGAACTAGAGTTTGTGGAATGCCTTCTGTGTGCCAGCACTATGCCAAGCTTTTAGCATTGTGTTATTTAAGCTCCGGGGCAATTCATCACAATAGGTGTTATTTTCCCCAGCTGACCTGAGAGGAAACTAAAACCCTGTTAAAGTACTTTGTTGTGCAGGGTCATCTGGTCCTAAGTGGCAGAGGTAGAATTTGAACCCTAGCCCAATGGCTCCATCACACTGTGCTTGGAGCCCATTATGAGTTCCCAGCCATCACTTATGTTGTGCCGGTTCTGTCAGAGGCACCAGGTGTCAAGATTGCCTGTTCAGCAAGTTCACAAATAGAAATCAACTGCTTCACGGTCTGATTTTTAGATTGGACCTATGATTGACATCTCTCACAATATCCCTTGCCACACTCCATTAAAGTCGCACTGCTCAGTCTTTCCTTTTTCTCCATTTAAGTGACTGGCTTGGGTGGATATTGCTGCATTGATGGAACTGAAGTTAGGTTCTGCCTTCTACCAGCCTGCCTATCCTCACCCCACTCCCCGAAACACAGTGAGTGAAAATCCACCTGTTGGCCACTTGCCAATGAATGGGTCCCTGAGGGTTTGACAGAAGTCCAGCTCATTTGATGAAATATTAGGGACGAGTTGAGTTTCAGTGCTGCCACTGGAATGCTACCAGCCGTGAGATACTCACCCTCCATCACAGCCTTGCTTTCTTTCCAGAGTGATCCCTAAGGCAGAGATGAGATGCAGGACAAGTTCCAAAGTTAAGCTGTTGGATCCACCCTTCTTGTCTTGCTTTGATTTCTCTAAGCTTTTCTTTCTACCTCTGGGTACCATCTTCCCCCATCCTGTTCCCTCATTCCTATAGCTTCACTGCCTTCCCAGCTCCTCCGTCCCCGAAACTTGCAGAGGCACAGTCCCGTCGTACTTTCTGTCCTCTCTTTCTCGGACGCCTCACCAGTTTTAGACTCAGATTCATCCAGTGTGCAGTACAGTCACTGAATAACTGCTCACATCATACAATTGGATGCACAGGTGAGAACAGAGCCTCCAGCTGGTGCTGAGGGAGGGGGGAGAGAGAGAGAAGAGAGGGAGAGAGAGAGGAGAAAGAGATAGAAAGAGAGAGAGAGAATTTAAGACAATACACATCTATAGCATTTAAAACAGTCCCAAAACACAGCAAATGGCTCACATATGTGAGCTTCTTACTGTTACAAGTTTGCTCATTTTCTATGGCTATAGAACAAGTTACCACAAACATAGCACTGTAAAACAATGCTGATTATGATCGCACTGTCTCTAGAGGCCACCTTTCATGAGTGATGGGTTGTCTGGCCCTGGTCTTCCTGGGTAGAAAGCAGATGTCTGCAGAGTCCAATCTTCCCCTTCCTGCTCACTGGATAAAGGGTTTCCTTCCTTGTGACCATAGGCTGAGGTCTGCTTTCTGCTGGCTTTTGGACATGCGCCTTTTGCACTCTAGCATCTAGCTCTTTACCCCCTGACTCTATAAACAACGCAGCATGACTCTTTGCTTCCTTTCAGATCTAAAGGATCCTGTGTCTGATCTGATCGGACCTACCTTGGTAATCTCCCTTTTTATTAATCCAGAGACATCTGATCAATAACCTTAGCCATATCTATAAAAATCTCCTCTTGCTACATAATGTAACATAATCATAATCATAATGTAACCTAATCAACTCATAGGTTGTGCCCCATTGTTGAGGGGCATGGAGGGTCACCAGAGGTATCTGCTGGGAATAACCAGATGCAGTTCATTCCATAGAAATGACGCAGAGTAGCCAGGAGTTCACGGACCTGTCAGTGGGGTCTTCTCTTTAGTGACAGATGGCTCTGACAGACTGGGTTAGTTTCCTGGGGCTGCTAGGCCAGGAGTTCACGGACCTGTCAGTGGGGTCTTTAGTGACAGATGGCTCTGACAGACTGGGTTAGTTTCCTGGGGCTGCTGTAACAAAATACTGCAAAGAAGTAGGCTTAACACAATAGTTTATTCTTTCACAATTCTGGGAGTCAGAAATCCAAATCAGTGTATTAATAGGTCCATGGTTTTTTCAAAGGCTCTAGAAAAGAATCCATCCTTGTCCTTTGCTGCCTTCCTTCTGATGGTGGTCAGTCCTCAGTGCTCCTTTGTTTATCAATAGGACTGTCATTCTAAGTTCTGTCTACATCTGTACATGCTGTTCTTCCTGTGTATCTCTGTGTTCAAATTTTCCTCTTACAAAAAGACATCAGGAGGCTGGAGAGATGGCTCGGTGATTAAGAGCACTGACTGTTCTAACAGAAGACCCAGATTCAAGTCCCAGCACCCACATGGCGGCTAACAATCATCCATAACTCCAGTTTCAGAGGATCCAGTGCCCTCTTCTGTCCTATGTGGGCATTGCATGACATGGGTGCACTTGCATACATGCGTGCAATACACACATACACACAAAATAAAAATAAATAAAAAAAAAAGGACATCAGCAGCTATATTAAGGCCCACTCTAATTTTAACTTGATCGTCTCTATAAAGATCCTATCTCAAAACAGGTCACATTTACAGGTACCGAAGGCTAGAACTTGCACATGGCTTCTGGAGAGGCACAGTGCACCCTACTGTGGAGACCATGTCAGCATGCATCTCTCCTTCCCCCACATCACCAGTGTTGCAAAAGCTCAGCTTCCTTCCCTTTACTCATTAGCTTTTCTCCACATGTCCCAGGTATCACGTCTGGACTAAAGGCCACGCACCCACAAACTTTGCCAAGTGGCGGACTGCCACCACGCCTTACCGGGTTGAGTGGGAGGCTGATTTCGAGCCCTATGTTGTGGTGAGACGAGACTGCCCTGAGTACGACCGGAGGTTTGTGGGCTTTGGCTGGAACAAGGTGGCTCACATCATGGAATTGGATGCACAGGTGAGAGTAGACCATCCCCCTGGTTCTATCTGGGGTGGCGGGGGTGGGGAGAGGTGCAGATATTAGAGCTAAAAAGGGACCTATAAAAGCATAAGGTATGCTCAGGGACCTAGAATGAGACCATGTCGATCCTGTGGGCTTTCAAGCCTCAAACCCTGGTTCTTTTACTTTTGCATGGGAGTTAGTTTCCTGACCAGGATTAGGCAAATGTAGGTATCCTATTTTTACCAACCCCCCCAACAAGGAAGACAAGCAAAGGATGACTAGTCATAACTCACCTCCAAATTAATAGATGTAAAGCACTGTAAGGACTCCATTTATATAAATGGCCCACAGCATGCCACTATGCACAGCTAGTTACTCCACCCTTCGATTAAACCAGCCGTGATTTTTGGACTGTGTTTTCTAAAATCCTTCATTCATTCGGGTCATACTTAATGAGAACCTATTTCAGAAGGAATCTGCACAACTTTAATAGGCGAAGCTGGGGTCCTACACATTTTCTGGGAAGGACCATATGGAGCTTTGTGGGACCTGCAAGTCTTTCTTGCATCTGCTCAGCCCTGCTGCTGTTGTGCCTCCATAGATCTCCTCCAAACAAATGTGCATGGCTCGGTTCCAACACAACTTCATTTAAACAATCATATAGCAAGCCAGACAAGCTGTAGTTTGTCAACCCTTGTGTTAAAACAAACAGAAGCAAAGCTGCTCCAGTTAAGGCAGGGGATGGATACCTGGATCCCCACAGCCCAGGGGAATGGATACTTGGATCCCCACAGCCCAGGGGATGGGTACCTGGATCCCTGCAGCCCAGGGGGATGGATACCTGGATCCCCAAAGCCCCAGGAGATGGGTACCTGGATCCTCCAGCCCCAGGGGATGGGTACTTGGATCCCCACAGCCCTGGGGGATGGGTACCTGGATTCCTCATCCCTAGGGGATGGATACTTGGATTCCTGCATTCCCAAAGGATAGATATTTGGATCCCCACAGCCCCAGGGGATGGATGCCTGGACCTCCCCCGCCAGCCCCAGGGGGATTCTTGTTCAAATTTGCAAAGTGCTAAGGCATGACTGTCTATGAGAAGTTCCAGGAGAACTTCCCCACAGGTCCATTGTGCATGAACCATACCACGTAACAGTGATCACCACTGGAGAAGGTGGTGGAATAGTGTCCACTCTGAACTAAAGAAAGCCTGGGTAGTGGTGAGATGAAGTGACGTGAAGTGCTCACAGATAGCGACCTCAAGTTTGCCTCTGCCTGAAGGGCAACTGTGATAGTTATGTGTCCAGCGGTGCTGTGAGGTAAACTTTTCAGAGAAGGTTCAGTTTGCCATCAGTGAGACCTGGCCTTTGTTTTAGATGCTTTTGCAAAAGTCTTAAAAATGGATTGCATGTTTTCTTTCCATGGCCCACAGCAGATATAATCGTATCCTTTCTAGTGACCTAAGGTGAGGAGGGCACAGCCAACAGGTCGCAGAGCAGCACCTGCGGAGGCTGGGATAGGTAGTGCTCTTTGTCCTTGTGGGAAATGCTCCCCACAGCTGAGCTTTGAGCTTGCACTTTTCTCTCCTGCTTTTTCTCTTACGCCACCATCCACTGTCACGTCCTGCCGACAAGTACCCTGCCTGTCACAGCTGCCTTTTCTGTCCTCAGTTTACCTTGCTAAGTTTATTCTTGTCTGCTCTGGACCAGGAATACAGATGACATGATGTCCAAAATTGGAGCAAAGATATGGACTGTGCATGTGCCGGGTTCTGTCTGAGTTACATGTTCTAAATTTGCGTCACCTATTTTGGCTGTTCAGAGGCCTTTAATTTGGGGGCTGTGATTTGGCTGTCTCCTGCCAAGCTGAGGA